GCTCCAGAGGGAGAAAGAGTCAGTCTCAGCCCGGTCTTCAGCATGGACGGCAGGTTCAAGTGAGAGTACAGGTGGGACTCCTGTTACCGTGGGCAATCCAGGCCACCATAGATCGTGGTGGAGAGCCAGGAGGGTGGCAGTACTGGTTCCCTCTAAGCTGAGTTCGTGTGAGCCGGCTCACAGTTTTTTAGCCTCCGGCTCACACATTTTTGTCTTAGCTCAGGAGAGATGGCCCCAGAGCAAACTAATTTATGCAGTAGCCAAATCGCCTGCTCACAACTTTAATGCCAGTCGCTCACAAAGTAGGGTTTTTGCTCACAAGACTCCACAGCTTAGAGGGAACTTGGCCAGTCCTGAGGAGGAGGAGGGCCGGAGTTTCTCTCCACAACAGGAGGGGGAAAACGCAAATCCTGGCCTGAGGCCACAACACACTGCAGAAGTAGAGAGGGTGCGTGGGTAGGGACAGAGGAACTGCATTTTTATCCTGTTTAGTTTCTGTGCCCCAGTTGTGTTGAAGGGCCTGCGTTTATTTTCTGTGCCCAATATGTATATAGCTCAATAAATCTTCCTTTTTTGAGTTTGAAAAGCCTGGTGTGCCTTAACCACATCGTCCTCCCCGCTCTGCACGTTATCAGGAGCAAAGGGAGGCCAGGGAACACAAATGGGCCTAGATCTGAGGGGTTGCCAACTCTCCAGAGGGTGCCCAAAGATCGAGGTACCCACTTCCCAAGGTGGGGAATTTAGCCAGAGGAGCCTCACTGTCCCTCAAGGAAGGCGGTAACTCAATTCAGTGAGTGGTGGCGGCGTTTAACAAAGAGAAATAGTCCCACCGGGCAGGGTGGGAAGGCCAAAACAGGGGCTTGCGAGCCACAGGACGGCACCTCAGTCTCCCAGGGCGGAGGGCGGGTCCCCGTTTCGCCACAGGGTGCATGATCTTCAGTAGGAGACGAGACCTATAAGTGCAGACTCCGCTCTAGGGGTGCGCAGGAAAAATAAGTGGTGTTCCAGATACACTGGAGCTGAAAAATACTGGTATTCCTGGTTCCCAATACCAGTATGGTATCGGCTCCAGTATTTTCCAGCTCCATTATTCCCTAGGGAGAATCCTTTTGGGGGTGGGTGGGGTTTTTTGTATTTTTCATATGTGCACGTGTGTGGGTGTGCACCTGAAGTCATGGGAACCTCTGGTGACTGACTGTGTGTGCACTTGGAAGTCATGGCGACCTCTGGTGACTGACCCTTACTGGGGGCCTGGAGGATATTCAGAGAGGAGGCTGAATAAAGCCTGCCCCCGCCTCCCGACTGCTGGTATTCCAAGTACTTGCCAGAATCGACCCTGCTTAGCTTCCAAGTTCTGATGAGATCGAGCTTGCCTGGCTATCCAGGGGGGGTGGGGGGGGTGGGCATGTTTTTAAAGGTACTGGCACCAAAATTTCAGGGGAGCTGTTGGTGCCTGTCTTTTAAATAACCCTCAAATTACAAGGGCCCCAGCTGTCCTCCATTACTTTGTATGGCAGCGGGGGGAGGGGGGGGAGGACATGGGAAAATGTAAAACCCGAGAATCACCTCACATAGGAAGGCCATTGCAAGTGATTGCTAACCCAACCATTGTAAAGCCTGAAAATCTGGACCTATCTAAAACCCAAGAATCTGAAACTATGTAAACACAACTGAAACTATCTAAAACACAAGAATCTCAGCCTATGTAAAATGCTAGAATTTCAATAGGAAATGTGAGAACATATATTTGAGGAGCAAGGCTGTTAGGGATGGGACATTTTGGAGGTCATTAATTCAAAGGCTCACCCTAAGTCAGAAGCAACCTGATGGCGCTTAACACACACACACACACACACACAATTCGTTCCAACTCATTTTCCTCAAACTGTATAAACTATTATTTTCAAGAACAGCAAAGTCTGTAATCCATTTTTAATTCTATTGTCCCAGTACTGTTTTCTTTAAAAATAATTGAATAATTAAATACAATATGTATTAATAGTTCAATAATCTTCTTTATTCAACCACCAAGTGCCTTAACATTTTCTGAGCTCCCCCCTCAATAAAAATGCTTGGACAAAATACAGTTTCAAAATAAATGGTGGGTGACCATAGCTTCAGATTATCATTGCCAGCAATGTAAAGTATTTGAAGAGAGGAGAGTTGGTTTTTATACAGTGCTTTTCTCTACCCGAAGGGGTCTCAGAGAGGCTTACAATCTCCTTCCCTTCCTCTCCCCACAACAGGCACTCTGTGGGGAAGGTGGGGCTGAGAGAGCTCTCTCAAGAACTGCTCTTAAGAGAACAGCTCTGAGAAAACTTGTGACTGACCCAAGGTCACCCAGCTGGCTGCATGTGGAGAAGTGGGGAATCAAACCCGGTTCTCCAGATTAGAGTCTGCCGCTATTCACCACTACACTACACTGGCTCCGAAATGAGTAAGCGTGTAGAAAATTACCTAAAATCATTTCGCTCATCCGCCTTTATTCCAGGCCACTCTTTCTTTAAGTACTGATTAGCCAGTTTCTGAATGCCCTGTTAAAAGAGATAAAACACAGTGTTATTTACAAGTCACCATATAATCTCAGTGTATCATCCACCATACTAAATACTGTACCAGTAATATGCTAACATTTCAATAAGGTTCTCAGGAGGAAAGTAGGAATGATCGTTACCCCACCAACTTCCAGTTTCATCCCTTTTTTAAAAAACAATATTATATTAAATTTTCCACACAGACATACTAAGGGGGAAATCTTCAAATAATTATAATGCTTATGCCTAATAACTAAACCATGTTGATTAAATGTTCATCTCAAAAAAAAATTTAGTCATTCATTGCCAGTATAACAAAACTCTTCTCTGTATCCTCACCAATGTATTGTTTGACTATAACTTTAAATTATTATAATTACTTGTAGGCTTGGGGGCGGGCGAGGCTTGACAATGCATTTAAAGCTGAAGTTGCTTTCTTTCTCTGCTCCCCCCCCCCACACACACCTCAGGCCTACCCGGGGAGGGGAACACTGGCTGGGGAAGGGAAGACCGATTGGGGAGGCCTATCTCCCCTTCGCTTCCCCAGCCGCCCTGCCGGGAGCCACACAATATGCGTGAAAGAGCCGCGTGTGACTCCCGAGCCGCAGTTGGGCCACCTCTGGTATAAATGAATTTTTTAAAAAAATTCTCCAAGTGGAAGGACAGCAACAAGGAAGCGCTCTCAGTCATAACATCCTCCTCTGTATTATTGTACACACGGACCTGCCTTATACTGAATCAGATTGTAGGTCCATCATGGTCTATACATAAGAACATAAGAGATGCCAATGTTGGATCAGGCCAAAGGCCCATCCAGTCCAACACTCTGTGTCACACAGTGGCCAGAAATACCAGTGCCATCAGGAGGTCCACCAGTGGGGCCAGGACACTAGAAGCCATCCCACTGTTGACCCCCCCCAAGCACCAAGATGACAGAGCATCACTTGCCCCAGAGTCCCTATCTATACCTTGTGGCTAATAATCACTGATGGACCTCTGCTCCATATGCTTATCTAATTCCCTTTTGAAGCCGTCCATGCTTGTAGCCGCCACCACTTCCTGTGGCAGTGAATTCCATGTGTTAATCACTCTTTGGGTGAAGAAGTACTTCCTTTTATCCATTCTAACCCGACCGCTCAGCAATTTCATGGAGTGCCCACGAGTTCTTGTATTGTGAGAAAGGGAGAAAAGTACCATCTGCTCAGACTGGCAGCGGCTCTCTGGGGTCTCAGGTAAAGGTCTTTCCCATCACCTCCTGCCTGGTCCTTTTAACTGGAGATGCCAGGGATTGAACCTGGGACCTTCTGCACGCCAAGCGGAGGCTCTGCCACTGAGCCACAGCCCCTGCCTATGTCTCTCCAGGGTCTCAGGCAGAGGTCTTTCCCATCACCTATTGCCTTATACTTTTTAACTGGAGATGCCAGGAATTGAACCTGGGACCTTCTGTGTGCCAAGCAGAGGCTCTTCCACTGAGCCACAGCCCCTCACTCAAACACATGAAACTGCGTTATACTGAATCAGACCCTTGGTTCATTGAGGTCATTATTGTCTACTCAGTGTGGCAGTGGCTCTCCAAGGTCTCAGGCAGAGGTCTTTCCCATCACCTCCTGCCTGGTCCTTTTTAACTGGAGATGTCAGGGATCAAACCTGGGGCCTCCTGCATGCCAAGCAGAGGCTCCAAGCCACCGCCTCTCCCTAAAAACACGTGAAGCTGCCTTATACGAATTACATCTTTAGAAGGTCTGCACTCCAGGGACTCGGGCTGAGGTCTTTCCCATCACCTACTGCCTTGCCCTTTTAACTGGAGGTGCCCGGGGGATTGAACCTGGGACCTTCTGCATGCTAAGCAGAGCCACTGCCCCTCCCCACAGCTCTTCAAGGTCTTAGTCACAGGTCTTTCACATCATCTACTGCCTGGTCCTTTTAGCTGGAGATGCCGGGGAACTTGGGACATTCTGCATGCCAAGCAGAGGCTCTGAGCCACAGCCCCTCCCTAAAGACACATGAAACTGCCTTATATGAATCAGATCACTGGAAGGTAGTAGAGACTATGGACCACTGGTCTGATTCAGCAGGGCTGTTCTTAGGTTCTTATCAGCGAAAGGCCTCGGTCTCTATGCCCTGTTGTTGGCCGTCCAAAGGAACCAATTGGCTACTGTGTAAGACAGGATGCTGGACTAGGTGGACCCTCACTGGTCTGACCCAGCAGGGCTCTTCTGAGGTTCCTATCAGGGGAAGGCCTCGGCCTCTCTGCCCTGTTGTTGGCCCTCCAGAGGAACTGGTTGGCCCCTGTCTGAAACAGGAGGCTGGACTAGATGGACCCTCACTGGTCTGATCCAGCAGGGCTCTTCTGGTGTTCTTATGAAGGCCTCAGTCTCTATACCCTGTTGTTGGCCCTCCAGAGGAACTGGCTGGCCACTGGTCTACTCAGACTGGCAGCTGCTCTCCGGGGTCTCAGGCAGAGGTCTTTCACATCACCTACTGCCAGGTCCTTTTAGCAGGAAATGCTGGGGACTGAACCTGCGACCTGGTGCATGCAAGTCCGAGGCACTGAGCCACAGCACTGACCTATGAAAATGTTAACTGTTTGCTTGTGGAGAACTCTTAACAAGGACTGGCAACAGTGCTGTTGTATCTCTAGTGTCAGAAAGCTGGCTGCATCTGTGAAGGTTCTATCACAGCCAAGGTCCAAAGTGCTATAATGCCCAGACTGTTTGGAGCATGGTTGGTTTCATTTCGAACACCGAGGTGCTTACAGCAAAGTCTTCTGAAGGGCATGAGTGGGACTTTGATTGTATGCGTCTATTTGTAGCTGTTTTCCTGCACGTGAGCTATTCTCTCCTCACCAGTGGGAGAACTCTCTCCTCTGTATTCGCAAGAAAAGCTGGAACGTCATCAAACCAGAACTCCTTGCGAGTTCAGCTCCTTTTGAAAATCTTGGTAAATCATAATCTACAAGTTTAAAGCTCGTATACCAAAAGGAACAAAAAAGAGGGGCATTAAATCAATTGCACGGCTTCACTCATTTGTTTACCATCATCTCAAAAAAGGTGTGTTTTGTTTTGTTTTTGTTTTTTTAAAAATGGTTATTCCGAGCTGATTTGCTGAGTGGATCACAGGAGCTTTGTATTTATGATACCAGGATGGCAGAAACAGAGACAGAGAAGGAGGAGGAGATTGGATTTATACTCCACCCTTCACTACCTGAAGGAGTCTCAGAGCGTCATCCAATCTCCTTCCCCTCCCCACAACAGACACCCTGGGAGGTAGGTGGGGCTGAGAGAGCTCTTTCAAGGACTGCTCTTGAGAGAACAGCTCTGACAGAACTTGTGACTGACCCAATGTCACACTAGCAGCTGCATGTGGAGGAGTGGGGAATAAGAACATAAGAGAAGCCAATGTTGGCTCAGGCCAATGGCCCATCCAGTCCAACACTCTGTCACACAGTGGCCAAAAATACCAGGTGCCATCAGGAGGTCCAGCAGTGGGGCCAGGACACCGGAAGCCCTCCCACTGTTGCTCCCCCCCCACCAAGAATACGGAGCATCCCTTGCCCCAGACTGAGAGTTCCTATCTATACCTTGTGGCTAATAGCCACTGATGGACCTCTGCTCCATATGCTTATCTATCAACCCCGGATCTCCCAGATTAGAGTCCGTGCTCCTGACCACTACACCAAACTGGCATAAGAAGTTGCATTTCATGGTTAGGAGTCTCAGACAGTATGGCACAACAGACTGACTGCAGGGCTTGGATATGGGGAACTCCAATTCAAAAGCCTTTGTCTGAGATATATATATACACCAATGTATGATCCACCTTGTCCTAACAGTTGTTGCGAGCAAGAAACACAATAGATTAAAAAAAAAAAACCTGTCCAGGTCACTTGGGTTGGAAAGGCAAAAAGAACAGGCTTCCTCAGGAAGTGGTGGGCTCTCCTTCTTTGGAGGTTTACAAACAAGAGGCTAGATGGCCATCTGACAGCAATGCGGATTGTGTGAACTTGGGCAAAGGGAGGGCAGGAAGGGTTGCCTCAGTGCTTAGTTTTTGTGGCCCTTTCTTACACGCTCAGGGAAATGCCGATCGCCACTCTGGGGTCAGGAATCCATTTTTCTCCAGGCCAGTTTAGCCAGGGATCTCGTAGTGTTTGTGTGGGGGGTTTTTTTTGCCCTCTTCTGGGCGTAGAACAGCAGTCACCGGGGGGG